TTGATGTCACTCCAGCTGCAATTTACAGTTGTGTTGGAGCAACACCATAAATCCTGTAATCAATTTGATGATGGTATGATTGCTGTACACATAGGAGGAGGCAGTAATGTCAGGCTCTCAGGTTCATGAGACTCCTGGGCTTCATATTTTCTCTCTATTCTCATCCTATTAGAGATTCTGACCCTCCCCCTCCATCCCCACTTTCTGCTAGCCTCTCTGCCACCCTACCTCCCTCCCCCCACCATCTCCCTCTCACACACACATACTCTTCCTCTCTTTCATAGACATACACACACACATACAAACACACATACATGCACTGACTGCACTCTTATTCACTCTCTCTTTCCATCTCTCTCACGTTCACACACATAGCTTGCAGACTGGATTGTGTGTGAGTGTGTGTGTGTGTGTGTGTTGGGGGTTGGGGGGTGGTGGGGGTAACTGAGCCAGTGGAGACGAGAGACTCGAAAAACGTGAGAGGGAAAAGAGGGAGATGGAAGGATGACGACTAGAGAGTCTAAAAGAGGGAGAGAGAAAGGAAAAGAAGACACTTTGAGGTACAACGAAAGCAAAAGGAGACGACTAGAGACCATGAATGCAGCACGGAGGGTAAATGAGTGTGTGTGTGTGTGTGTGTCATCTGTAAGTGTTGGATAGCATGTGCAGGGGGAGGTTTTGTGTGTAAGAGAGCATGTGAATGCACAAGTAAGCAAGCTTTTTTTCTCTTCTTTATTTTTCTCTTGTTTGCAGCTCTGTGCGTTTTGACGGCAGCCCTGCAGAGACAAAAGGTGAGAAGCTGTATGGATGTAAGTCAGGTAGGTAGCTAGAGAGCAGAATAATGGAATCAATACTATTGTCTGTAACCTACCTGCCGCTGGGCTCTCTGTCTGGCCCCAGCAGAGACCATCAGAGAGAGAGAGAGAGAGAGAGCTAAGAGGAAACAGGCTCACTCTGACTGGGAAAGAAAAGGAAAGAAGAGACTGGCTGTAAAGGTGATTGTCTTTTCTTTTTTTTTTACATTTTCACTCACAATGTAAATGTAGATTAAGGATTGTATGTTTATTTTTTATGCAGAGCTTGCATGCATTTTTATCTGAAACTTTTTCATCACTAAAATCAGCACATTTTTTCCTTTGGCAGTCATGTTGTATGTGCATGCATGTATGCTCTCTTCTAGCTGTATTTATATTTGTAGTGTAAATGTGACATTCTGTCTGTGTTTGCACACATTGAAAAGCCTTTCAATTAGCGTATAGGCTGCATGTTGTCGACAGGTCATGTCTGCGTTTCGTGTTTGATTTGCGGCTTGTTATAATTCTCACTTTCCTTAAACACCTCATTTGTAAATCTGATGATAAAAAAAATACCCCTGAACCTCATAATGATCATATTCAGGCAGGTAAATTAGTAAAATTGAAGGAATTTTAATGTTATGACTGGCAGTGTTGTAATATATGCATTCACACCTGACTCAATTTATGAATGTGTTCACACAGTAATTTCCATCTCTGTTGCATAATTCACAGTTTTATTGGTACTGACATGAATGTATTTTAAACAAACCTAAAAAAAGCAACCTCTGCTGCAGACAAATTCATAATTCATTTCTATCTGTCTATTTGTAAGTTATGACAAATGTCTACTATTCACTCTTGTCTGATCCAGCTGCCATGTCTGTCACATGCGACATTAACTGAAACAAAAAAAAATCTCCAAATCAGACCTCTGTATTCCAAAATCTTGAGGCCTGTAGCTCATGAAGTCGACCTGTAGGTAAAACCTAATGTGCATTAATGCAGTTCAGTATGATGCAGCTTGTGACGCAGGCACTTTGAAACCTTTTTTCACATTGTCACGGAGGTGTTTTACATGATAAAATCTCGCTGCCCTGACATAAAATGTGCTAATTTCCCTTTCCTACAGCATATGAACATATTCAGTCTTCCCCAGTCAGTATGTGTCATTCTGTCTGTCTACCAGTGGGTGGCATTGGCTTGTAATATTTCTACGCAATACATTTTTCTTTCTCTCAACACTAGAAGATTTTACATTGATATGTTGGATTTATGAAAAATTACAGTTTGATATTGTTGCAGTTTGACGGAGTGTCATTACATCACGTAATTTACAGGTGGATTAATGTCTTATACCCTCCCCTTGTCTTGTCTTCATAATCATCGAAAACTAGTTATATCGTAACTGGTAAGTCAGATCCTATCTTGCTCTAAATATTGGACTGAAAAAATATTGTATGACAAGGTAATAATAAACATTTGGACTGTATATCCCTGTAAATTCATCTAGACTGTAACTCTGTTTAAATTGTCTTATCCAGACAGTCACACCTCAGCAATTATGAAGGAGTAAATTACCCCTTCTATGACACATAAGTTATGATTTAGGCAAAGATTCTGCTATTTATGTGTCTTACATAGAGTAAAGAGTTAGGGCGGTTATTAAGAACGAAAGAAGAATGTCCCTTTATTTGATGTGTAAGTTATGTTCTAGGCTGTAACATTGCCACTAATGTTTCATACGTACTTATGAAGCTGATTTTTAAAGCCCTTTCAGCTCATTGATCTCCGAACAGCTATGTGACACCGTAATTTGTCAGCGCTAGCTCAATAAATTAAATGTTCAAAATGCACAAGACATTTAACAACAGTTTGAAATTAATCTCCTAAATTAATTGTGTCTCCTCCACAACGTGCTCAACTGCTGCACTGCTGACATTATTCAAGCCTTTCTGTGAAATATGTTACTTTGCTTCTCATTGCTGCATTACGAGGTAAAAGACTAATGTGGATGAAATGTAGACAAATATGTGATTATCGTGTTTTACTTGAACTGATCAGTTTTACCTCTGTTCTGCAGCAAACCAGGAGAGCGGTCGGTGCCGCAGAATCCAAATGTCAGATGAGGTCATGTCTTTGTCTCGGTGCAGCGACTCTGCGGCTCTTTCTTTCAATACGTTTCATCTCAGCGTTGTTTTTCTGTAGCTTACATTAAACTGCTAATTTTAAGATTTTAAATTGCTCCGTATTTAAACCCTCCCTGTTTATTTTAATTTCACAGTATGCCCCTCTGTCCCTGAGACCCTTAACCTGTGAGGTCAAAGCAGGTCACAGGTGAGGTCCTCGGGAACAGGGCTGCATTCAGTTTCAACGTCCTAGAAAAAAGAAGCATTTTGTAAAAACATTATTACTGAAAGTCATGTTTTAATGTTTGACGTGTCCTTTGATATTCTCACCATTCTTCAAAACTATTTTAAACACAAGAAAACATTTTCTTCTGCCTCTAATGTCTCTAGCTGTCTGTTCATATCCTTCAGTATATCTTTACCTGTCATGTCATGATCAAAAGTTGTCAGGTTGTACAAGAAGAAGAAGATCCCTCCTCCCTACAGCACAGACACTCTCAGGGGGCCAACGCTATTGGCTGGCTTTGTGTTATATCCCTCAATGGGGGCCAATAGGAAGACAGCCAAGGGTTGTGACCCCGTCATTTATGTCACCTACAAAAATCAGTGGAGTTATTGGTACATTGTGTGAATATTTCTGCACTTCTACTACTTTGTACTGGAAAAGTATATCTGTGTTTTATGTATGTTAATAAAATATGTCAAGAAAAAGTGGTTTTTATGTGTGATTTCATGAAAAAAAATTGTCTCATCCCTAAAAACACATGGATGTTAAACTTGCGATTTTTTAGACAGAGCCAAATAGCTACATTTTTACACGAAGCAGCGCTTTCTTGAATATAAAGTGACAACATCTTGAGAAGATGATTCCCTTTTCTCATTAATTTGTGAAGTGAAAATCATCTTCCACAGAAATAAAGCTTTAAATGAGCAGATGTTATGCTCTTATAAATGCTCTGGATGTGCATAAGAAGATTTATCAACATGTCACAACACATGCTCGATGCAAACAGACACAATTAAATGCACTCCAACACACACACAAACACATACATATCTGAGATTTTACGTGTCCGACCAGCCTGACAATCTAACTGACTTTGGCAGTCCTGGAGCTGACTCTTCCCTAATATTGATTGGCTTGTCTATGTGGAGACAGATGAATGCATTAGTACCCAGCTCACCCTGCCACTGAAAATATATTAAGTTCATGTATTAGGCACCCTGTCTGGTTGCCATGGAGATGCACCAGGAGTGAGGGACCAGGGAGGAGAGGGGGTGGGGGGATGAGGAGGATGGGAGACGAGCGGGGGATACAGGATGTGATGAGGCAGTCGACTTGATTTGTAGTCCCGCTCCCTCTTCCTCTTTCTCTGCCTCTCTCTGTCACTTGTGTCCTCTCTTACCTCTTGCACCTGCCTTTCCCTTTGCTTTTCCTCTCCTCTTTGTACCATCACTTCATTTTCTTGTTTCTCGAACATTCTTTCACTGATACTTTTTGGAATTTCTAAACTCCACCGGCTAGAATATACATTTTCTCGTTGATCACTATTCTATTGATTTTGTTGACCCTTTTGTTCCTTTTTTTTGGCTTTCGTTCTCCATCTCGCCATCTCCACACCAACCGTTCGCCTTTTGTTCTTTGTCTATTTCTTGCCGACATGCTTTCCACTTTATCCCTCTATACGTACATAAGCATTTAACTCCCTCTTCATCTGCCCCTCTCCCCCCCATGCCGCCGCCTCCCTCCTTGGCTCGCTCCATCTCTGTGCTCTGCAGTAAAACTGGTGCATTGAGGCAGCAGGAAATGGGGACTAGAGACAATAGAATGGAGGGAATTGTAGAGGGAGTCTGTGGTGCTCTCTTCTCAAACCCAAGCATGTTGAGGCAACATGAGCAGGCTACTTTCAAAATCCTTTCATATGCGATATACATATAAAATCCATATTCATGGAATTGATTTTTCAAGCATCTCCTGGAATGTAAACCTTGGAATTGTAGTCACTATGAGACCAGGATTTGAATAAAAACTGTTAGTACAGAAACCTTTGTTTAAGTTTGATGCCCGTGCTGAAAAATGTGCACATCTGCTCTGTGGCTCGTGTCCGTTAGCTTGCTGTTCAGCACCTCTCTAAGCTGCTATCAGTGCTTCATTGATGTGGAAGACAGTCTTCGCCTGTGTTGGGGTCACGTTTTGACTAAATACAATGTTAGAAATGTTGACACCTGCTTCAGGAAGCTGGACCAGATATTCAACAACGACGAGGGAGTAATTGAAGCTGGCAGAGTGGGTGCGGAAAACTATCTTTTATTATTATTTTCTTATAAGGTTTTAGAGTTTTTTCTTCAAGGCAAATGTAATAAAATGCATTCAAATAGTAATTCAGCTCGAAAAAACAATTAGTGATACCATGTGTAGGTGTATACAGTGAAAAAGTTGGTTTATACCTGTCTGATATTTGTCCTTTTTCAAGGTGAAGGCTATGAGGGACAGCTGAAAGAAATTCTGAATGCGCAGATTCTGCCCATGGTAGAAGAGTTTGACAAAAAGCTGAATAAGGGTAGCTAAACACCTGCTCTGATAGACACATAACCACACAAATAAATGAGTCTTTAGAGCGTCAGAATTGTTAAGTAAGGTCAGAAATGGAGGGGGGGGGGTGTAGAAATGAGAAATTTCAAAATGATGCCCTGAAGCACACAATTCACCAGGATGTGTTGAGCCAAATATTTCTGTCTTCCTCCTCCTCCTCCTCCTTTCCATCCATCAGACACAGTGTATGAGAAAAGGTTGCAGACAGCAGCAGACAATTTCATCGCAGCTGCCTCCAAACTGCCTAGAGGTGAGACATGGTCTCTTTGCCTTTTCCTTCATCTTTTCATCTAAGGCCTACATTAGGTCATTACAGCTCCCTCTGATCTCTGTACTCGCTCTGTAATAAGCTAGTTAGGTTATTACAGCCTTTCAAATATTGTGGAGAATAAAGGAAGCCATCAGGTTGAACTGATTCATACTGGTTGGCACTAAATCATCTGTTCTAAATTAAATTATTTTTAAATTGAGTATAATCTTAGTTAACTATCTTTGTTTTCGCAGTCTCTGGATGTTTCCCTCCATGCGGTTAGTGTCTTTATTTATTTGTGTGTCTTCAATATCATTTCAATTTTTAAAAATAAAATATCTTAATCCATTTATCAGTATTAGTTTCATGCACCCATCAGGTTTCCAGAGTGCAGGTGCCGTGTACAACTGTATTACATGCCAGTATGACTCTTGCGAATTCCCTCTTGACTGTCCAGGTAAGCATTGCTAATCTGTCCAACATATTGGATACTGTTACATCACAGTTTTTTTACACAAAAGGTGCACTAATCCAGACTTGACACATTCTTACATAACTATATTTTCACCTTTATAAGCATCCCCTCTTGATCCTTTATATGCTTTGCTTTTGATCCTTGAAATGCTCTTAGCAGAAAGTCGGGATTTGAAAAAGAGACCAAGGCAAGGTTTTATTTCCACACATTATATCTTTTGCACAGAGCCCCCAAGGTACTCTTTAAGTCCTTGGCTTCTTTATGCAAGGTGACAGTTGACTCCCACACGCGATGGTGTTCGTATCACCCTGTACAGCACAGCCACTGTTTAGCATATCATCACTTTTACTCCACTCCTCAGAGACTGGGCTTAAGTATTATCATTAAGGAGGGCTCAGACTGCAAGAGCTGCCCCCCTGTGAATGTTATCTGTGTGTGTGTGTGTGTGTGTGCTGTGTGCATGTGGGTGGCTATATGTTTATTTCAGTTAAAGAAATTAAAGTAACAGAGAACAGCAGGAGCCAAATGTGGTGCGACGTGCCATTTCACTTACCAACCGATATCGAGGTGATCTGGAGGTTTGCAGGAGAGGTATGTTTGGTGTACGGTGAATCACTGCAATGCCTTTAAAGGGATAGTTAAACATTTTGGGAAATACGGAAGTTGGCTTTGTTGCCAAGAGTTACATAAGAAAATTCCTACCACTATCATTTCTGTCAAATGAAGCTGAAGCAGTTTTCTTAGCTTAGCATAAAGTTTGGAGGCAAGAGGAAACAGCTAGACGACTTAGACTAAAAAAATAAAAAATCTGCCAACCAGTAACAGGGTTTGTACAGAATGCGACTCCACTTGTTAAATATTTATTAGTGTATGTTTATTGGCTCATGGGTGCCCTCTCTCGGTAAATTCTGTTGTGTTACTTCTCAGGTTGTTGAGTTCATAAATGTAGAAAATGTATATCAAAATGTCTTCTGTATGAACACGTTGGTGTTGTGATTTTCTGGTCATATATCATAAAATAGCACGTTCTGTAAACAAGCTGGCTAATCTTGTGATAAAATAACTTGTTGATCTTTTATGTATGTGCTGTGTCTGAGCCAATCATAGTAAGCCACCTGTATGGCAGACTAGTATGAAATATGTTCCTTCCCAGACAATATATGGAGCACAGAACACACAACACAGGGTCTCATTTCTTTAATTTCTAAAAACAACTAGTTGTGGTTTCATGGGAGTTTTATGAGGAACTATTTCTTTGCCAGGTGCAGTGACCTACCTGACATCTTGGTGCCAGGCAACCAGCTGGGACTGCAGGAATTCACTACGAAGAAATATTCTAGCTCATAACTCTCAATAAAACCACAAAATTGCCATTTTTACACTTAAGTTTTTGTGTGGTTTAAACAAACAAGAGCTAACAGGTTACTCAGTAAGCTTTAGAGGTGCTGGTAGGTGGATTTTGTTACCTTTGGAAAAAAGCTAGGCTAGCTGTTTCCACCCTTTTTAAGTCTTATGCTATGTGTAAGCTAACTGGATGCTGACTGTAGCTTATCAGTGTGAAAGTGGCATCAATCTTTTCATCTAGCTTTTGGCAAGGAAATTAAAAAGCAAACTATTCCTTTAACAGTACTTTTTTATATCGGTCTTTGCATCTGTGCAGATCAGCATAAATGATTGCTGTCTTCAGAATTCATAAGAATTTATTCCTGGACAGGTGAAAACCCAGCAGGTGGATCAGTTTAAAGAAGTGACCGCGGGGATGGATCCGCTGTATTCCATCCCTTCAGCCAGTTTGCAACATCAGGGCACCTACCAGTGTGAAATCTACTCGGGCCAGCGCTCCATTGTCAGACTATACTATTATCTCACAGGTAACAAGATACACAACTTTTAGGAGAAAGAAATTGTGATTGATACCGATCAATCTGATTATTTTATACCGAGACACAAAATAAATATACAAAATAGCCTTGATAATTTAAATGTTTGAAGGAATGTAGAAAAAATCTATCTGATCGATATATTTTGACTATTATTTTTGGTTGATGAAATACAGTGTGTTTTCTATGGGTACAAATTTTATTTTATTTACATCATTAGATATAAATAAATGTCTTATGTCTTGTGAGATAATGGATACAACAGATGAATAATATTTACTCCAAATATTGAGAATTACTTCTTTAAAAGTAATTACATGAATTGGAGACTGTATATATATATACCAGAATATATAACATATACTATATACCAGTATATACAGTATATACATATACTGTATATTGCAGTATCTCCTGATTGAAAGCTTTTCAAATATATTTGCACTAAGATTTCTTAGGAAACTATGTAACTTCAGAACAGTGTTTTTACTTTCGTACCCTCCCTGTTCCTTCACCATTATCTTTTACTTTGTGTCCTTTATGTAAGTTCAAATGCTCCCCTCTGTTCTTTCTCTTCATCTCTTTCTCTCTCTCAGTGACCCCCCAGGTTGTGGCAGGCCACACAGAGCTGCAGGAGATATTCGACCTGTCTCTGCTCCCAGGAGGGTGGTTACTTCCTGCGCCTGGTGGTCCTCCCCACTCCCTCCTCCCCCTCCCCTCACCACCGCTTCTCATCGCCTGTTTAACTGCTTTGCTTCTGCTGCTATTTCTTTCCCTGGGGTAAAACAAACCTATTATTTGCACAATATGATATGTGAACAGCAAAGAAACTTATATTATAAATGCACTCCTTTCCTGTGAATTCAAGGCGCCCCTAGCCAAGGCATATACAGTATATCAGCTGCTATCATATCTCCCCACTTTTTTTCTTTTTTTTTTACTATTGCAGGACTCTGTATTGGTCATCAATACGAGAGCAAACAAGTTACGCTGAACAAGCAGATGGAGATTAATATTTAGGATTCTGAGAGTTGGGAAGATGCATGTAGTGCATTAAAGGAATTTCATGAATCCTCTGGTTTTCTACAGCGTTACGTCATAGTTTACAGCAAGCCTGTGTGTGACTCCTTCCACCACTGGAGGGCAGGATGCACATCTTTATCTGCAGTATACACTGTGCTGTATGCAACAACCATTTATTCTCATTTGTGCCAGTGACAGTGACAGTGATGGAAAGTATAGTATATATGCTCACTTACTTTAAGTACAATTTTTTGGTACCTTGCTTTGACTTATTTTAATTTTATGGAACTTTATACTTCTGCTCAAGAGGGAAATATTCCACTTTTTATTCCACTACATTCTCTGACAGCTATAATTACTTCTTACTTTGCATATTCAGACGTGATATACAAAACATATAAGGAGCTTATAAAATATGATGCAGCAGTATAGATATGCTGCATCACAATTCAGTTAAGCCATAAGCAATAATGACAATATCATTCTCTTAATAAATCTAACTCTAAAAGGGACCATTTTGCATTATGACACTTAAAGTACAAATTACCGCGCAAAATAACCTGGTTAATAACACTTATTTACCGAGTTGGTCTCTTCTCTGGATATTTTTCATCTAATCGCACGTGACCAGTTTTAGCACAAACCGCTAATTACCGTATAACGCTAGTCAAACGGGGCATGAATACAGTGAAAAAAAGCTATTTCTACCACTAACAAGCTCAAATAGCACCACACTTACACAGTAGCATAAAGAGGTCCTACTTGTAACGAAGCATTGAGACGTTGTATGTGTACAGACAGTCTATTAAAAAGATAGTTTACAACAACAGTAACTCACGTAAAACAGGCGCGCCATCTTGGAAAACAGTCGGACATCCAACTCCTGAGATGACTTGAACGCACCACTCCCGTCAACTCGCCTGTTGCAGAAGAGAAGCACTGAACGGCAACAGAGGACTACTAGTCTACTAGTGCTCCACAGCACACACTGAAGAGATGCGGATTATTCAACTGAATTTGAAGACATTGACAACGAACCCTTTCAGTTTAATGGACATCTTTATCTTTTCGAGCGGAATATACAGACGAAAGCCGGGAGCTCCGTGAAAGGGTACGAGAGAGAGAGAGCTAGCGTAGTCAAAGCTCAACCCTCCAGAAAAAAAATCACCTCAAGAAAAGTGCGTACGAGAGCCGAGAACCTGTTTCGGATATTCTGCATGAGGTAATGTGTGAATTTGTTGTCATAGATCATCTACTACACCTAGATTGTATAAGATAGCCGCGTTTGTAGAAACTAGGTGGGGGAGGTTACACTAAACTTTATTGCTTGCTTTTGCTAAAGTCGAGCTTTTTGCAGTAAAGCTTAGATACTCATAAAAATGTAAAACATAACTCGCTAGTGTACTTACTCAGTGGATAACTGTCTATCTGGTCCCTCCGGTTTGATCGCCGCCCCAATTTATTTTCGGACATGGAAAAAGTTTCTAGTAGCAACCCTGTTTATCAGAGAGGGGAAATCTTCAGAACTGTACAAAACACTGCGTCTCTTGGGTGTCCGACGCAACAGTCCCACTCTGCAACACGGCACTCCTTTCCGTGGCCATACTTCACAATGTCCGCAGGTACACCACCAGTTTCCTGAAGTACGAGGCTGTGTTGCAGCATTGACTACCGGTAGCCTCTCTCGTAGCCTTTCACGGAGCTCCCGCGGTCTTCGTCTGTATATCCGGCTCGAAAAGATAAGGACGTCCATCAAACTGAAAGGGTTCGTTGTCAATGTCTTCAAATTCGTTGAATACCGCCATCTCTTCAGTGTGTGTCTGTGGAAGCACTAGTAGACTAGTAGTAGTCTCTGTTGCTCGTTCAGTGCTTCTCTTTCGCAACAGCGGCGAGTTGACGGGAGATGGTGCGTTCAAGTCACATCTCAGAGAGTTGGACTGGTCACGACTGTTTTCCCAAGATGGCGCCGCCTGTTTACGTAGTTACGTGTTCTAAACTATCTTTTTAATGGACTGTCTGTACACATACAAAGTCCTCAATGCTTCGGTTTACAAGTAGGGACCCTCATTATGCTACTGTGTAAGTGTGGTGGCTATTTTGACCTTGTTAGTGGTATAGAAATAGCTTTCTTTTCACTGTATTCATGCCGTTGACTAGGCGTTATACGTAATTAGCGTTTCGCTAAAACGGGTCACGTGCGATTAGAATGAAAACATATCCCAGAGAACAGACCAACTCGGTAAAATGTTATTAACCCCAGGTCATTTTGCGCCGGAACCTTTAAACTTCTGATGGTTCATAACATATCAAAAGTATTATAGAATTTTAATATTCATTTTTATTAAAATAAAAAAAAGATTAAATGAAATGCTGGGTTTAGTTTTCCACAATAAATGGTAAAATATCAGTTGTCCAATTACTATTCAATTTGAAATTATCCTCAAAACAAATAACAGAAACAAACATGTAGCATTATCTCAAAACAGATAATGCTACATGTTACTTTTGTTTATCACCACCAAGAGTGTGTCAGTTCTTTTCTATGGCTGTCCTTGTACTGATATTTAATGCAAGGGGGGGGGGGGGATAACCTCAATACATAGTGCTGGCTTATGGACCAAAGTCAAATTTCAAAGAAGACTACAATGTAAAAAAAAAAAAAACATCTGATGGCCTGTGTGTGCGGATTCGGTCAAGCCCACAGGTGACCACAAGGAGGCAGCAACACTGCATCTCATGCCAAAAAGCATGAGAGGATGAAGATCAATCATACTGTTCAATGACACTGACTCTGCATTGAACTTTACTCTTACATTTACAGTGTGTCACATCAGGGCTGTTTGGTTGCTAAAACGAAAGACACATTGCCCCAAAACAAATCTGAATCACAAGAGAGGATGAGGAAGTACTTCTATTGCAAAAATGATTTTTACTAAAAGTGTGATCCTGTAGTCATACTGGGTTTTTTTGTTTTGTTCTAACATTAGTTATTAGATTGAACCCTTCAAAGGCCAATGCCTCGCTCAAACCCTTTTAATGTCAGAGTCTACCTTCGTGGTCTGAGTGTTTGGCAAAAGTCATTAAGTATTACATAACAGGTTCTACTTCCCCTTTTGTACTCTGATTGGTGACCTGAAAACACTTCTCAAGGTGGAAAATTGGCACAATACTTTTATACTTTATTTAGTGATTGTATACTTTGCTCTCCCTCCAGAAAATGAGTGGCAGGCTACACTTGGTTGCTACAGGTCAGTCTGACTTACACTCACAAACTCATGTAGTACACAGGATCACATTTATTCACAAAGACAAGTTTATAATCAACATCTGGAGTCCCAGAAGTGGCAAAAGTTGCTCAAAGGTTGTCAGATAAATCAAAAGAAAAGGTGAGTACACAAATAAATAATACAAAAATATATATTTCCTTTTTCTTTCCATTTTCTTTCTATCAGTTGAAAAAATGAATAATAATTTTATATTACTCTCACAAATCATTTCTCTACATTTTCCATTTTCATTGTTGCACTGACATTTACATGATAGTATTACTACAGAAGAAGAACAGACAGAATACTAAATTCAATACAAATTGAACAGTCTAAGTTTAATATAGTATTTATTGTAGCGCTGTTGGATAGTATTGCATTACACTGTACAAAGGTTTATGGTCAGTACTGGAAGTATGGCATTATGTGTTTGAGTAAACACTATACACATTTTGTGACAGAAATATAACTTCTAATGTGCTCTAACAATAACAGGTTCTGTCTTCTTTTTTTAATCTTTAAAGCCTTATATAGAAAACGTGCAGAGATAAGATACAGTCCTTGTTACTTTACAGAGGACTGATAGAAATCCCTGGAAACATTACAAACTGGCATGGGATATACACAGATCATATACACATCACTTATCACATTTCTCATGCACATGTCAATAAAATATATTTGTTTACTCAGAAGGAAGTATCTCGTGATTGAACCAACCCTGTGTTGTTATAGTTAATGATAAATAAATCATCCCTGATAAGGTCATACAAATCTAGGTTGTTATCTGGGCAAAATGACTAAACAATTCAACAGATTAATGCAGTATAAAGAGTTTATATTACATTCCAGGAGCTGCATCAAACTAAATCCAGAGATGAGCCCAGTGCTTCAATCTGTCACTATGTCAGTAGTGTTTTAAATTACATGCATTTCGACTAGAAACCAATTTGACCTATTGTACTGAATGTATTACTGGCGGTGATTTCAATCTGCTCTTATTCTGCTCAGTTACACCTTATCATGTCTTTGAAGTTGCAGAGTCAAATTTAGCTTCACTTAAAAGTGAGATCACATGGACAACAGTCAGTAAGTCCCAAAAGAGGGAAGAGAACAGTGTGTTTAAAGCTTAAACACATTAATAACCAGCAAATTATTCAAAGCAAACAATCATGTTACTGACAAATGCTCTGATACAAAGTGTTTGACTTTTTCATTAATAGTCACATGGTTGCTAAGAACCTCCTGTTTTGTTCTGATAACCGCAGGGCAACAGACTGTTACTGTGGTTGATGGTTCCAGGTACAAGAAGGAGATATTGGACAACTCAGGCACAGTCTGCTCTTTTGTGCATCACCCCACACCAATACCAGACTTCTGCTGGGAACCACAGCACCCAAGCTGGAAGACCATGTGATGAGAATCCAAAATATGTACCAGACAAAGCCGTATCTGGGATTTTGACCCGTCGCTCAACATGTTTGTTGTTAATAATGTTTGTAGTTGAGTATCAAAGTAACAACACTGTAGCAATATACAGTACATGATGTAACATAGATTGAATCTGAGTTTCTCTTTTCAACTGATTTTGCATGTTAACCTTCAAATTATTATCTTGACTTGTGATAACGTTGAGGAACTCTCTGCTCTTTGTTGACCTCTGCAACTGTGAGAGTTCACTGACATGATTATCACACTAATACTTTATCAATGCGGGTGTGTTCTAGGTTCCACCATTGATGGGCATATTAATAATAGAATTACTAAAAGCCATTACACCCTAAGACAATGTCTGGGTGTTTGTTCTTTGTGTTTCCTTTCATTGTTTCATTTTGGGGATAAGTATTTATGTTAATAACTCATATTTTATGCTTCAATAGTGCTTGTTTGCAACAAAAAGATGTTGTAAACAAAAAAGCTGAATTCATTCTAATTTCTTTTCTACATATTTGAATAAATTACCTGACAACAAAACTTTTTACAAATTATTTTAACACGTTAGACATTTTCCTTTACCTCTGACTTCCAAGTCTTCTCTAATAGTCCCATTTCATAAGTCAATACAGGGGGTTTATGTTTTTGAGAACCCTGTTTTGTATCAGATGAAACTAGATGAAGAGTATGACATTTTTACATTGTAAGAATCTGTCTTCCTATAAAATAGTTAAAATAGCTAAAATAACAGTTCTGCTGACCGTTCAATAAACCCGCACTAAGTCTCCTCAAATGAATGATGTCTTACTGGTAGAGAAAACACAATATGAGGACTGACTGGGATCTGTGAATCTTATAAAGCACTCAGAGAGTTTCTAAATATAGTCAGACATTACTCAACACTTAACTTGTCATTTAATGGGCAGATTGCTTGTATTTTTTCCCACTAGGCTGCTCGGTTGCAAGGCAACCAATGATGCATTGTGACAAGCCTTTACAGCCATAAATGTAAACTGTATGGATGTGAAATGGTATCTGTTTGTATTTTTGTGTTTACCCTGGATTATATTAGCCCTCTAGGCCCTAGCTGCTTCTAGACAGTTTTTTGTGTTTTTTTTTTTTTTGCTGCTTGAGGCTTTCATTCTTGTTTATATTATACAACCATCATAATTCTAGGAATCAATCACTTAAATCTACTTTTTCCATTGTATCATGATGTACACACTGTAAATGAACTGTTCTCTTGTAGAAAATGCCATTATTATGTCATTGTAGCTCATCAGGTTTTTTCACCTGAATTGACCTTTAGAAAATATTTGTGACAGCTTCATTATTGCCCAGTTGGGTTTCTGTGCCTCGCGCATTTCTAAAACAGAAATGATCAGATTTGGATCTCAGGGATGTAACTGCTCCATTTTGAAAGGCATTTTGAAAGTTGCCTGACAAGTTTAAAGATGACATTATATTATTTATTTTTATTATTTATTTGTTAGACATTACCAGAAGTTAATAATAATGTCTTTTCATCCATTCATTTGTCATTTAAAAATGACACATTCACCCCAAAGGGGGCAAATTTTTTAATGTCTTAAATATATTTAATTCAATATTTCAATTACTCAAACTATTTTGACAATTTGAATGACTGTGACAAGCCCCAGGGGGAACTGCGGTTAAGAACACTGCAACATTTTGCAGGAAAGTTGTGGGCTCTGATTGCTGTCCACTGGAATGCTGTATCAAATTATGTGTTTTTGCGCAAGTTCCTGTAAATGATGGCAGCTCCACCAGTATGAGTGTGCATGCTGCAGCTGACCCTGGGATCGTCAGATGAAAGCTGTGGGGAACACCCTGAACTTAATTTGTCCAAATACTGTGTGCCAAAAATAACTGAATGATCTAAGAAGGTTCTCCATTTCTATTCTGTATATCGGTTCATTCTCTAATTTCAACCCATCTGGATTTCTTTTTCTGTCCTTTTTTCAGTACAGAAATTAGTAAAAAGGGTAATGATAATATGTACACCGTAAATCTAAAGTGGAAAACACTGGATTGGTAATGGCAACCACAAACCACACCAACAAAAGAGT